ACACCTAGTCAGAAGTCGTCTGCCATAATAGTTGTCATGATTCCCAGCATCAGACAGTGGACTTGGTACATTCTTGAACGTTTCGCCGGCATCGTAGTCGGTATCATCAGTGAATTTTGCCATTCGCCGCACCAAGCTACGAAACTCGTCAAAGAGACAAGACGAGTTCGTAGCTTGGTGCGTCGAATGGCAAAGCTCACTGATGATGCCGACTACGATGCCGGCGAAACGTTTCAGAATGTATCAATTCCACTGTTAGATGCTGGGAATCAAGACAAATACTATGGCAGACGACTTCGGACTCGGTGCGTTCTACATAGTAGATACGAAGAGAAACTTGCTTACGATGAATCTCCTGAGATAACATTGTTAGGGGAACCTTCATTTCGAATGAAAGTACATGAAGAATAGATTCGTTTGTCGATCTCACCAGATGAGGACGGATGAAAATCGTTGTACTGCAGCCGTTCAGCTTTTATGTTATATTCATGTTGACGCAGTCCAAAAGACTTCCTCCTTCGTTTCGGGTGAGGACGTGCTGAGTTTTCGTCCATCAACTGTTGGACATCATCAGAGCTGGGTTTCATTCTTGTAAGAGTCTCACATTAACACTAAAGCAAGAACTCTTTCCGGCTTCATCTTACTACTTAAATAGACTCATTCAAGTCAATAGATTAAAAATTACAAATCTAGACAGATCGAGATAGAGTGGTTCGGTTAATTTCCTTTCAGGTTCGTTCTGTTATTTTTGCTCGATTGTATGAGAATGCATATTTTCGTGTGTATTAGCGTCTGTATGCAATACGGTTCCTAAATCGACTGGGTCTATATAAGAAGTAAGATGAAGCCGAATGGTGTTCTTGCTTTAGTGTTAATGTGAGATTCTTACAAGAATGAAACCCAGCTCTGATGATGTCCAACAGTTGATGGACGAAAGCTCAGCAAGTTTTCACCCGAAACGAGGGGGGAAGACTCGTGGACTGCGTCAACATGAATATCATATAAAAGCTAAACGGCTGCAGTACAACGAGTTTCATCCGTCCTCATCTGGTGAGATCGACAAACGAATTTCTTCTTCATGTACTTTCATTCGAAATGAAGGTCGCACAACGTTCTACATAGTCTCCCTGAACACAATACCAAATTGCGACAACGAGGTCAACCCACTTCTAAAAATCACTCTAATCTAAGGAATGAAGACCAAGATGGTGTGGCATTTTGTAAGTTTGCGGTCCCCTTTCGTAGTATAGAAGTTGTTTCACCTTGTTTTCGCAACTTGGTCGTATTGGTATGAAGAATTAGAGGAACGCACCTAGTCCGGAGTCCATTGTATGCATTAACATTTCCAAAGTCGGACCGTGAGCGTGGTAACTTCCCAGACGTTTCACCGGCATCATCAGCGAGCCTTGCCAGTCTCAGCACCACACTACGAGTTGTCAAGGAAACATGGGAAGTTGGTGCTTTGACCAATTGTATGCTAGACAGTTGTGGTATCTCATGGCTCATGGGCTATTCAGCTATCCTATATCCTCGCATCACCCCTTAAATATCGCAATTTCTTAATTTCTTCGTTAAATGTCGTATGGTGTGAAATTTCGAAGGGATTTTGTGAAACCTCTTCACACCCCACACCCCTACCATTGTGCTAGGAATGTTGATCTGATTCTGCCATATTAGTCCGCAATCCTCTTCCCATAAGTCTTATCACAATCTCCCTCTTGCCCCGTAGGATCCGTCTCTTATCTCATTGGTTCAGGTAGTTCACTCAACCTCTGCTACCCTATCTGTACTACTTGAAGTGTTATTTCCCATACTGTCTCAAGCATTTGATGACACGCATATTCCCGCCTCGCTGAGCAGACCCACAAAGTCTGGATTCTTAATCGAAGGTATGAAGACCAAGATGGTGTGGCCTTTTGTATGGTCGTAGTCTCCTTTCGTTGTATAGAGGTTATTTGACCTTGTTTTCGCAACATGGTCATATTGGTAGGAATACTTATTGGAACGCACCTAGTCCGGCGTCCCTTGTCTGCATGATCATTTCCAAAGTGGAACCGTGGACGTGATACATTCTCAAACGTTTCGCCGTCAAGAGGAATCCGCCGTCGTCTTCTGGTTGAACCGACCTTCGAATCTCTTCACCCAACA